ATAAAGAAAGCATTTGACTTAGTTCTACTTAAAAGTTTTAAAATAGTATTGCAAAAAGTCAAAATTCCTAGAAGAATGATAAAATACATCTTAAATCTTTTTTACAAAAGACAACTAAGGATAATTATAGCTTATGGCTTAACAGAAGAAGTAATAGCAAAAGATAGAATAGATTAAGATAAAGTAATATAACTATTAATATGGTGCCTCTTCTATAATTCATTGTTAGAGAGAGTACAAGAAAATAAAAGTCTAGGATATATAGTTGAACAACAAATTAAAGAAAAAATACAATGTAATAATGTTACAAAATTCTGCCAAGCAGCAATTGCATATATAGATGATATGTATAACATAGATTGCAAATAGCAAAGGCTAGTTATTGAAGATTCTAAAAGTAGCTAAGAAATTTTTTAAAATGAGTAATATAGAAATTAATGAATCAAAATCAAAGCTACTAGTGATAAACACAAAGGTTAAAAGAAAAGAAAGAGAAGTAGCTTTTGGCAAAAGTAATGTAAGAAAAGAGCCAAGAAACAAAATTGTTCAGTTACTAGAAATATAGCTAAATAACAGAATGCAAGAAGTATTAGTTAAAAGAAAAACTAAAGGAATAGTTAATTAGATAATAAAAGACTTCAAATACAAAAAGATAACAACAAGCCAGATCACATATATAAACAATATAGTAATAATTCTAAAACTAAGCTACATGCTTCAATTAACTAAAATTTTAGAAAAGAGAATATATGAAATACATTAAACAATAATATGTTTAGCAAAGCAAAAAAACAATTTATAAAGAACATTAGAAAATTGTATAATAGAATATAAAGATCTTAGTAAATGTAGAACATTACAACAAAAGCTATTAATGAAGTAAGTGAATGACTTGCTGTTAAGATTGAACAAACAAGATAGCCTAGATCAGTTAATGAAACTAAGAATAATATAAGATTATCAAAGAACAGATTTGACAGAAGATGTTTGAAAGTTAGAAGAAATACTAGCTAACAAAATGTGTTGAAAGAACAACTTAACATGTCTGATAGTAATAAAAGCAAGAGAACTAGAAATAAGCATAAGGACAGAAAGTAACTTATAAAAAATATTTAGATATAGTACTAAAATATGAGAACTGTTAAAAACACATTTGTGAAAAAGAAATGAAATAGAGATAAATGAAGCAAATCTAATCTATCTAAACCAACTGCTTAATATAAAAGTTAAGAAGCTAGTTATATAGCAACAATTTAAAAACTTTTGTGGATGTTTAAGTAAAGTCAAAAAAGCAGAATAGTTTAAAGAAATAAAGTCCAAAGTGCTCGAAGAGTCAACAAATAGAAAAATCAAAGAACACTTTAAGACAAACAAGCAAAATACCCAAGTGATAAAAATAATATGAAAAATCATATTAAAAGATAAAAGAAGAAAAAAGTAGATAATATATAATACACAAGGTAATAGACAATTAGAAAAGATAATAAAGAAGAAAAAAAAAAGGCATATTAGAATATTGGCAAATGTAAAATAAAGAGAATAAAATAGTAACAGAAATTAGTAAATGTAATAGATATACAGAAGAAGAAAAACAAAAAGAAAATAGTTGTTGGTAATGGATAAGAATAAACAATAAGATTAGAGTAATCACTGACACATCGATAGAAAAGAGAAATAGCAAGATCAAGATAGCTATAGACCAGTTGATAAGAAAAGTAAAAACAGAAAGTTTGAAAGATAGTAAACAAAAACTTGAAGGACTAATAATGGTAGAAGAGTTAGAAATAGAGATAATCAAGTGACAGAAACTAAATAAGAATATCAAACAAGAAATTCTAAAGATACTAAGAAGAAACCTATTAAGAAACAAAGACAAATATATTATATATACAGATGGTATTGTAAATGTAAAAACCAAAGAAAAAACACAAGACAGAAGCATGAGTATAGGATAGATTCAAACAAATAAAATACAAAACTGATCAGAAGAAGAAACATTATTAGGACTAGAAGGATGAATGATATTAACAATAACAGAATTAGTAACACTATAGACAGCAATCCTAACAATACTAAGAGAGAAACAAGTAGAAGTATATATAGACAGTAATACTGCAATAAGAAATATTAGTAAAGGTTTAGAGCAAATAGATAGAACAAAAATTCTTAAGAAGAAAAATATGATATAGATAATGAAGATCATAGATCTTATCAATATAAAAAGTATACAGATAGAATTAGTAAAAGTTAAAAGTTATAGTAAGAACAAATGGAATGACAAAACTAATAATCTTGCAAAAAAAAGAATAATAAGTAAGAAAGTAATACAAATAAAGAAAGTTAGTTGTAAAGAGATAGAGTACTGACTAGAGTAGGAAAACAAATGAACTAATATACCAATGAGATTGTTATATAAATTAGTAACAAATACAAGATTAGAAACAGAATAGAAAGTAACAAATATAATCAGAAAGTTAAAACTGAAAACAGAAATTATAATTTATGACTAGATATAATTTTGAAAAAGATTAAAAATGATTAAAGGAGTGTATTATATAATGAGAAGAAATAGTACAAGAAGATATACATTTATAAAATATATGATAGATAAACTTCCAACTCTAAAAGAACTTAATAGAAGAAGACTAAATATATATACAACAACAGAGTGCCAAGTTTGTCAAGATAAAATTAAAGAAACACAGTCATATCTAGCATCATATAAAAGACAACAGAATCTTTGGAAATGAATCCAAAAAGTAACTATCATAATAGTCTGGAAAGGATTAAAAGAAGAAGAAAAAACCTATATCCCATTATATATACTATATATAATGCTCTTTGGAAAAAATGAAGTAAAATAAATAGAGATGAAAGAAACTTTAATCAAAAACTTAATCCTAAAAAAGACATAAGACAGACTAACACAACTCCTAAATACAAAAATAAGACAGTAGTTTATTGAAACAATGATAAAGACAACATGAAACATATTCTATGAACAAGTTTAAAAAATACAATGTAAAAAAGTCAATGAATAGAAGAAAAAAAAAACATAACAACCAAAATAAAGAAAAAGGAAATAAAAAAGAAGAATCCAAAGAAGAAAGAAAAAGCAAATTAATAAAAGATTAAAAAAAAAAAGAACCAAGTGTAAAAGAAAAAGAATAGAATTAATAAAGAAACTAGGAAAACAATGTTGGAGCTTGTCATGAAAGGGAGAAGACCTTTTCATTACAGACTTTAAATAGTCAGACAAGTAGCCTACTTCTGTTTAAAGTAATGTGACAGGTTGCACTTAGGTACTCTGTGGTGGTCAGGTGATACTAAACTTAATTGTTAGATAAATCTATGTAATTGCAGAAGTAATTTCAAGAATCTTAATAAAGTACTAGCGTGACTGCTTAAGTTTAAAAAAAAAAAAAAAAAAAAAAAAAAAATCTTAGCTAAAACTTATCACTGCTACTATACTTGCATTTTTTACTAACATATAGTTCTTGATTCTTTATATTCTTAAAAAAAAGTTAATTAATAACAAGTTTATTCAGTAGTAATATTTTCATAGTATAGCAAACATAAGTTTCTTTACTAATTCCTCTTCTAGAATCATTCAAAGAAATTTCAGTAGATTGTTTTTGTATGCGTAGAACGAATTACCCTCACCAAACACTTTCTCAGGTATTCAATCCACTGAGAGCCACCCTTGCAGATAGCTTAGGTGGCATCACAAAAACAAACTATTACTAGACTATTCATTTGTGTGCATAGAATAAACCACCCTTACCATTTAACTCAGGCAATCGAACCAGCGAGAGCCATCAGGTGGCATCACAAAAGTAGCCCGGTTTAACTACTAATAAAAACATACATACCTCATTTTGAATTTCTTTCAACTTAATATTTTTTTTTCTGAAGCCAATTGTTGAAACCATTGTTAACATCGGTATCATCTCGGAAAGAATCCACGCAATTATCCTTGCAAAACAACATTGATGAGAATCAAAAACGCACTATTTATGTATTTGAGGACATTCATTTGATTGGTTGTAGAGATGGGCACGCGCAGGATCCCGCGCGTGACGCGAAAAATTTTTTAGAGCTCGCGCGGGATTTTTAATATGATCCCAAAATAAGAGACCAGGGTAAAATCGCCACCAAAAAAAGTTTCGACATTGATTATTTACTAAATACAGAAATATTAACATAATTGATTTTTTTTTCTTCGATTCTTTACTGTATATGTTAATTTCGTAACCAAATTCCCTAACATCAACCGAAAAAAGAATGAAAATCGAAATAAAAATTATTGAAGAAAAAACAAATAGTAACAAATGGCTCGATAGTATTAATAAAAACTTTGTGCCGTTGCATAAATTAAAAGGCAATGGAATATTACAATACTTAGAAAAACCGTAATCATAATACTTTCTGGCTGTAATAAATATTATTTTTATTGAGTTATTTGAAATAAATAAAATGATTAATTTATTTCTTATCGTTATTATTTTGTCAGTCTAAATTTTTTTATTAAGTTACATGATTTTTTAGTGCTCGATGTATTCATCACGTGACGCTCAAAACTTTTGGGTGACGCAGTAGGCTCAGCGTATAATTTTATGTCTTAATGTCGACCGGAATTTTGAGAATTAGGGTTAGATTGAGATCAATTTTACGAAAACTAGTATAAACTCTAAGTACGATACTGAAAAGATAAATTTTTATAGTTTTCATTCATTTAGATTTTAATTTCAACTTCCGGCATCATGAAAAAATGTTTTCGTCTACCGATTATAGTTCAACCATCTATTTTTCATAGGGATTCATCCTTCATTAGGGTTTTAAAGTTTTCTTCTTTCGGCAGGATTTCGTCATTTCGTCAAAGGTTTCGTCTTTCTTTCGTCAGTTTTAGGTTTCGTTCGTCATTAAATAAAGTGGTTAAAGTGGTTTCGCCTAACAACTGTACGTCGAATGAAACACAAAGTACGGAAGAGGTAACCAAAATGTCAAAAACATTACTTGGAGATTTCTGGAAAAACAAGTCTTTGGCTAAAGGGTTATCTTTGAAACAACCTGAATCAACGGGTAACTGGAAAGACATTGACATTTATAAACCAAGTAAAACAACACTGAGTGTTGAAGAATATGATAAACTATTTAAACGAATCCGTAATGGTTTTGTATTACAGCAACTTCAAGAATATGTTAAAAATCATGATGGTACAGTAGTTGAGCAACATGTAAAAGGCACAAAAAACGTATTGATTAAGCATATTATCAATAATATATGGAAAATATCAACGTTTTTAAACGAAAGTCAGTATGTTACAAATACGAAGTTTTAATATTTGCACCAAAACAATTTATTTCTTAATTTAATTATATGTATGATTTAGTTGTGCAATCCAGGCCCATGGATATCTTTTTTATCCTCGGCTCAGGTGGTTAATAGTTAGTTACATTATATAATGTTATTTTTTTGTCTCATTTACTACATTGGGATTAAACAATATATTCAATTTCAGAGGGTGAATCCTTGAAGTGGCTAGAAACCCAGGCAAATGTGAAAATTGACATCGATCTTAATACATTTTCATATAAAATTTCAGGACTTGAAAAAGACGTCCATAAAGCTAAAGATATCATTGCAAAATTAACTGTATTTAAATGATTTTCATTTATTATTCGTGTGGTAAAAAACGGCATTTAATACTGTTCTATTTATTTTACATTAAAGTCATATACATCAACCACTGCTGATCTCCCTCCTAATATCAAGGACGAAGGTAAAAGTTTACAAGAAATGATGCCTTATGTACAAGATATTTGTAGATCATCGGGATCATTTATTGAGCTTGGTCAGAAAAATCAGGTGTCTATTTTGCGAGGGCTACTCTTGTTATTTATGCTTTAACATTTATTGTTAAATTATATTGTTTTTGATTCAGATAGTTATTTATGGGCAGACCTTGCAAAACATTAGGAAAGCACAAAGATTACTCAATATTGCCTGGAAAAAGGTAAAAGGAAAGAATTTGTTTCGATATGGGGGGGTGTCAGTAGAAACCAAGCAAATTGTTTCTAATTAAATTTTTTTAAAATTTTAAAGTAAAATATCTCAACAATTATTAAACCAAACTTGGTAAATTTTTTTTTATTTTAATTCTATAACTATATAGAATTAAAATAAAATAAAAATTTATCAAGTTTGGTTTAATAATTGTTGAGATATTTTACTTTAAAATTTTAAAAAAATTTAATTAGAAACAATTTGCTTGGTTTCTACTGACACCCCCCATATGTTTATAAAATGACTCATTAAAGCCACCTCACATTACTTTATAGCCCGATGAAAATGAAAATCACTTGGTCTTATGTAGTAATAAACAAGAAATCAATGAGTATTCTTTTCTGCCTGTTCATGATGTGGTGACATTACCTGTATACCATAGAAATATGCATTGGCACCGTCTTGATCCGGTTTCAACAATGGTATGAAGAAATAACATGGATAGTATCGTAATCAATTCTTGTATCCACCAACTATATTTATGAAATATCATCCATTTAATGCTCTGACCAATAGTATCACATTTGATAGGGTATTAGACCAAATATTCAAGATCAGCTACATATGTTATATGAAAGCGATAGGTATTATTTATAATGATTATTTATTTCTTATTATTTTATAATGACACGTCTAATTTATTAACAACATTAGCTTTTCAAAAGATTCCTTTCATCCTAAAGCAACGGTTACGGATTTCAATAATCTTGGAGATTTCGTGAAAAAGTATTTGAGTACGACGCGAGCATCAAATCCTCAAATCGAGTTACATTCATTGTAAGTCTTTGTAAACATTTATAGATGATCTCTCTTTTCCTTAATTTGCATGACCAATTTATTAAATCTTAGGTTTGGACATATTATTTTCCATGACAAAATAAAATCAAATCAAAATTTATTTACTTCTCCAATACCTGGGACTTGTACTCGCAAAATGTTTGAAGAGTGGTCCAAATTGACAAACCCAACAAGACTATTTCTTCCTAGGTAAACGTTCATTGTCGATTTTTATTTAATCGCGTTGCTCAACTATTACATTGCAATCCGTATTGTACTCCTAGTTATCCGAGTCCAATACTTTTAGGAACTCTTAAGCCACTTTCGGATTTTCGAAAAATTGTCCAACTTGAATACTTGCCATCTAATGCTACAGATTTATCGATAAATCGGCTGAGTGTGCAGTTCGACGTAATTAATAATGAGTTAAAGTTAAAAGAATTTATAATATCCAGGCGGCGTCTTTTGATCGACATGATAATGATGGATTGGTATGCATAAATATCATTGGCAAATGCATTATTTCTAATTACTGATTTTTTTATTTGCCAAAGTCCAAAAGACATTCGATTATTGTCTATTACCAAAGAATCTTTGCTTGAAAACAAAAATATTGAAGGTTTGATTGATCAATGTAAATTCCAAGGGTATGTTTTATGATATTATTGGTTGTTAACATTATACGCATACACACAGATTTTATATTTGCTACTAAATGGTTACAGTGATGTTAAATGTCCAAAAGAATATACTTTGAAAATACATAACGATGAATCAGTGTCGATCCCATATTCTTTGGATAGTGTAAAATTATATACATGTGGATATTACGAATATAATGGATTTACATTAATTGTTAAGAAAGTTTTAGAACAAGAAACTAATATCATTAGACCAGAGGTTAAGGTAGGATTATTTATTACAACTATAGTTTTTTTGAAAACCAATTTTTATAAATTTTCCTCTTCATAAACTTTAGTTATTATATGTGCCAGTTAATAATATACCTAATGATCTTAATGAAGCCCAAAATTATTTAGATTTTGATCATTGGGATAAATTTATTTTTTCAACTTTGGAATTTGCTAATCTTTTGGATTCAAGTTTTTGCAAAACAGACGAAATAAATCTAGGATTATTTAATAGGGCTAAGTGATATAAACTATATAAATTGAAACTATTTAAACTCAGTCTAACAGTTATCATACACAATTTGATCTAATTATTCAAAGGTTCTAAATATGTGTATAATAAAAATTTGTGTTCTAATTAGCAATCAGATTATGAAGTAGCTGTTCGTATTTATTATTGTCATGTAATAGATATTCGACCTACACCAACTTACACGAGATGAGTTAATAATTTTTTAGAAATTTTAATAAAGATAATAAGAACCCAACTTAATTTGATTTTTAAACAATTGTTACATATATTTTTATATGATTGTGTGATATATACAGTTAACTTTTTAAATGCATATTTTTAAAATTTAGGTTATTTTTCAAATGCAAGATTAGCTTTTTATTAAAAAGTTGAACCAAACTTAATTTTAGATTTTTTAAATAGCAATATTAAATAAGTGTTTAAATTTAATATTGTTAAAGTATTTTAAATTTTTTTTTTTTTTTTTTTCCTTATAAGCAGTCATGCTAGTACTTTATTAAGTTTTTTGAAATTACATTTGTAACTACATAAATATCCCTAATATCTAAGTCTAGCATCACC